CCAGTTCAGGGTCTGCACGCTTGAAGTACGCATTTCAAGTGCGGTTATGTCACCGCCACGCAACGACGGCTGTCCCAATTCGAAGTATACTTCAAATGCATACTCCAAATGCGCCGTCGATTTCCCCAAATATCAAGCGTGGTCCGGTGCACGCTTCGTGGTCCCATATATCCCACAATTCATAGCGCGGCGGTGGGTGTGGATAATTTTGCCGCAAAATACGGCAGAAGGGAGCGGCCGAAGAGGTTTTTTTCCCAAATTTTATTGAACTTATAAAGCGAACAGTCAGTCATTCCAGTTCAGTTTGTACAGTAGATATACAAGGCAAATAAGGGTAACAATATACAGTGCAATGAAATAAGAAGGATAAATAAATAAAGGATAAAAAAAGAAAAAAAAGGGGGGAATGTGACAGACTTCATAACAACTTTGTACTTGAAAGTTGTGACAGCTCATTCGTTAAACATTTCTGGATGAACTTCAATCAATGATAAACCTTTTTTATTGGAAGTTAGTTTAAGAGAGTTTAAGTAATATTCAATTTCAATCAAAAACAAATTAAATGATGGGGTTGAGTTTTGAAATTATATATATATATATATCACTGGGTCCTAAGGCTAGACCCCCTATGCTAAGCAAGCCTACCGCAGACATGAGCGAGACAGATAAATATGAAGGCATGCCGGCTTACCCATGCCCACATACAGAGTGTGTCTGTGGATTCCAACAAAGCTCTTTCACTTGTGTACTTCATGTACTTCATGTACTTGTGTGTTTGTGACAGTGGAACAACATACAACATATATATATATATATATATATATATATATATATATATATATATATAAGCCGCTTGAGGAGGTACACCAGAGAGATAGAAGGCAGGAGAATAAACCAGCTGTTCTCCACAGAACCAGCAAAGGTGTACTCTCAGTGGCAAGGCAACAATAAGAGAACAGCACCACCAAGGCTGGAGACGGAACAATACTGGAAGAGCATATGGGAGAAGGACACAACCCATAACGGCAATGCTCAGTGGCTAGTGGATCTGAGGGCAGACCACAGCGACCTCCCTGAACAGGGTCCAGTAACCATCACAGTGGCAGATATCCAAGAAAGGGTCTCCAGTATGAAAAGTTGGACAGCACCAGGGCCCGACATGGTTCACGCCTACTGGCTAAAGAAGCTGACTGCACTCCACGAGCGCCTGGCAGCACAAATGAACCAGCTGCTAGTTAACGAGAGACACCCGGAATGGCTAACCGAAGGTCGGACGGTCCTGATCCCCAAGAACCCTAAGAAGGGACCGGATGTGGAGGGTGAAGGTAACGGTGGTCCCCGTGGTAATCGGAGAACTAGGTGCGGTGACTCCCAAGCTAGGCGAGTGGCTCCAGCAGATCCCGGGAACAACATCGGAGATCTCTGTCCAGAAGAGCGCAGTCCTGGGAACAGCTAAGATACTGCGCAGGACCCTCAAGCTCCCAGACCTCTGGTAGAGGACCCGAGCTTGAAGGATAAACCGCCCGCAGGGGCGTGCTGGGTGTTTTGTTTTTTTTTCTTTATATATATATATATATATCATAATAATCTGACAATACTATAAAATTGGCCATACTATATTTACATTACCACAGTGAGATGACTTTAGTCTCATGACCAACATTAATTGTTATTTACTAACTAATCTTAAATGACTGTTCAGCACAGACATGAAGCCCAACAATCATGTTTTACAGTCCCGTGGTCTCAGCCTCAGATACTCAACTAATCAAAGTGATGTCATGACAAAAATGAATGACTAACAAAACATTTTTCTCCTTCATTTCTGTCACACAAAGCTGTATGTAACGTGTCTCGCGGTTAGTATCATGGTTGCTAGGCAACCTGAACAGTGCGACGAAGCGTATACCGTCCCATTTCACGAGCCTCTCACTTCCGCACTTCTCGTACTTATAGTACTTATAGTACGTACCGTACGTAGTACGAGTTTTGCTTTTGTTATTTGAGTGACTGAATGAAGGAACTCTGCTTCCTAATCTTCTCACACTGGGTTTAATGACAGAAGATTTCTGTTTGTCCATTAAAGATCTTTGTTTTGACCTTTTAAAGGATTATGTGATGATCCAGAGCCTGGCTTGTCTCAAGGAGTCTCTCAGCGACCTGAGCAGCAGCTACAGCTCTGCTGGCCTTTGTGTTCACCCTGTAGGAGACGTGGAGACCCGAGCTCACCTTCTGCAGCACTTAGACACAGCTGCAGTGAGGGAAGGTGAGCCATCCTTTAGCAGGACATCATTCAGGCTTTATTAGCATCACTGTGACTGTTATTGTTAGGTTTAATGTATGTGTTGTAGGTCGCCATTTAAAAAGCTAGAATGCTTCTGTTTGCTAGCTTCTAGTTCATGTTCTTATACATGTAATACATTTATTACCAACATTAGAGTTTATCCGCTGGTCATTCGACATGACGAATGACTTCTAAAGTCTTAATCCAGCTCCAGCTCAGGATGCTGTAGAGTCCCGTCAGTAACACTTTTGGTCTGCTAGTAAAATCTAGTTCTATTAATCTGCGCTCGATTACTCTTGAACCGGAACCGGATGCGAGTCCCAAAAAACTGAATTTTGGAACAGAAGTTGAATTCTAAAACTGAAACTAAATTGTTGTTAAAATCCTTTTGTAGAGGATAAAATACAGTTTCAAAGAAAATGAATTGATTTTCAACATATAAAATTCAATTTCAATTTAGTGACGATCATTTTCAAACCAATACATACATACAGTCTCAGGTGCTGTCTGATGGGTATGGAGCTGCAGTCAGCAACAGTAATGGCCTTAAGTTGTTGGGTCAAGGATCGTCCAGTGTCTTGATGGAGATCTAACTGGATCCTCCAGCTCAGAGCTGGTGACTTTTTTCTTGGGTTTTCCACTTGGCTTTTTTGTTCCACAACTCTCAGGATCATTTAAGAAATTTCAGATGACCGTCTTACTGCGTCCCACCTCAGCAAAGATGTCGCACTGTGAGAGACCCTTCTTATGCAGTTCAACACCCCGACCACTTTCAAAAAGGGTCTTAATCACAGAACATGTCATATAAACTGAACAGTTGCAGTGTTTCCTGATTTCCAGTTTAGTTTTTAGCTTTAGTTGGAATATTCCTCCTCTGCCAGGCAGCCTTAGGCTGAGATTCACCCTGTCACATGTTTTTTGGGTTTTTTGCACGAATGCATGGTTCCATCTCTCAGACTCATGCAGTCCCAAATCATCACACCCTGCTTCACTGTCAGGATTCTGCATGTGACACTCTCGGACAGGTTCAATTCTATTATGCTATTATGCTGGAACTTTTCTAAGACAATCAAATTTGGACTCCAGTTTGCTCCAATTATTCATCAGACTTCTTTAGGAACGTTTCAGTCTGCATTTTTGTCCTAAAGAGCAAACAACGTTTTTATTTCGTGGACACTGTCCTTCACTCTGAGGGACGTTCATTTTCACTGACAGCCCCTGGATGGTCTGGATCCCTGCTGTGTGTGGATTCATGTTAGAATATCACCACGACTCTGATTTCTGATGCAGCTGCTTTTATTTGGTCAGATTTTCCATCATGTCACAGTCTGACGTTTTAATTTATCTCTTAATTATTTTTCATGTGACTAATTAATGCAGACAAAGCTCTGAATTTCAGTATGAGTGTCTAGTGTTTATTTTGGACTGTGCTCATGATATCAGGCTAACACAGGAGTACCCAGTTTAGTTTCATTTTGTGTTTCTACTTTTCTTTTCGATATAGGCCGTGTTAAGCTGTTCTTGAATGTTCATGAGAAAAAAAGCCTCAAGCTGTGAACTCAGTGATGATGAAATTACTGTGATGTTGTGAAGGATTTGACATGTAGCTGATATCAGTACAGAAGTGTACTCACTTCTGTTCCTGAGCCCAGAGCCTCATGTCAGAGATAAAGATCACAGATGCAGGAACAAACTGCAAGTCTCAGTGGGCGGAGTCAGAACTCCCCTTTGTTCATTCCTCTTAACTCGTTCCTCTGAGCACGTTCAAACTTCTATCCACTTTGTTTTTCTTGAAGGTGGAGGTTTGAATCCAGGAGTTCATTCTGAGCTGCTGTAGTTTTCATGCTGATCAGCTTCCCAGTGAACCTTTTTAACCTGTGAGGGTTTCATGGTCTGTTTTCTAAAGAGTTAATTTGTTCTACTCAAACGAGGAAGTGCTTGGAGACGATGTGGTCAGTGTGTCAGTAGAAACTAAAAAGAAGAAGAGCCTGTTTCTGACCGCTCAGTCTTGGTGAAGACTTCATAGAGAAGGTACAGTCGCATTTTTTCAGTTTCATTTTTGCTTTTTTGTATATTGAACTCTGATAATGATAAATGAGGATTACATTGACTTTACACTGTGCTAATATTAGCTCTGCTTGTATGTTGCAGTCATGGCGTTGGCTCTGGTGTCCGAGGACAGTCTTCTTTGTCCCGTCTGTCTGAGTGTGTTCACTAAACCTGTGTCGATTCCCTGTGGACACAACTTCTGTATGAACTGTATCACAGACTACTGGAGCACCCTGTCTGTACTCCAATGTCCACTGTGCAAAGAGACGTTTTACACCAGGCCGTTGCTTCGGGTTAACCCTGTCATTGATGAAATGGCAGAAAAGGTTAAAAAATCTCTTCAAGAAATGTTGTTGAGTTCAGCTGAACGAGCAGGACATGAAGACGTGCTCTGCAGCATCTGTGCAGGGTCAAAGGTCAAAGCCCTGAAGTCCTGTTTAATGTGTTTACTGTCCTACTGTCAAACACATCTGGAGCCTCATCAGAGGATTTCAGCTTTGAAGAAACACAAGCTGATCGATCCAGTTCAGAACCTGGAGAGCAGAATATGTCGGGATCACGGTGAGCCTTTGGAGCTGATCTGCAGACTGGATCAAAGGTTTCTGTGTCGGTCCTGTAAATGCAGTGACCATAAAACACATGAAACAGTGAGTCTGAGATGAGGAAATCCCAGCTGAGATTAGAAAATAACAGCATGGATCAGATGATCCAGGAGCGTGAGCAGAAAATCCAGGAGCTTCAACAGTCAGTGAAGACCAGCAGAAGTAAAGCTGAGGAGGCGTTATCGTACAGCAGGAAGGTGATGACCGCTTTGGTGCAGCACATAAAGACAGAGTTCACCAGACTGTCTGAGGCGATCGAGACGAAGCAGGAAATAAATGAGACGGAGGCAGAAAGCTTTATTGATGAGCTGCAGGCAGAGATTACACACATGAAGAAGAAGAAGCTGCAGTTTCATGAAGCTTCGCTCATCAGAGACCCCTTCAGCTTCCTGGAGAACGTCCTCCCTCTTACCTACAATAAGCCCCAGCTGCAGGACTGGTCTGCTGTGACTGTAACCAGTGACCAGTTTATGATTCAGGAGACCCTGGATCAGCTGGAGACAAAAGTCAGAGAAGAAGTCAGCATGCTGTGTAATATCAACTTCAGATGTGGGAAACAACAGAGGTATGATCTGAATGTTTTGATGACTTGATCCAGATACGGGTTCTCCTCGAAACACAGTGAGGTCACGCAATCAAAATCAGTCAGTCCCTTCATCTCGACACCCCTTTTTGTACATGAACTTTTGTTTATTTCATAAAAATAAAGAATAGTTTATCTCATATCTGAAAAATCAGTAGTAAACTTTATAAGTATTATACATGGGGTGGCTGTAGCTCAGGAGGTAAAGCAGGTCGTCTACTGATCAGAAGGTTGGTGGTTCGATCCCAGACTCCTCAAGTCTGCATGTCTAGTATCCTTGGGCAAGATACAAACCTCAAATTGTACTCCGATGCATCCATCAGAGTAAGATGTGTAGGAAGCTCTAAGACAGTGCTTGTGAGAATGGCTGTGATTGGGTGAATGTGGCATGTTGTATAGAGCACTTTGAGTACTCCGGGAGAGTAGAAAAGTGCTTTCAGTCCTTTCACCATAAAGAGGTATTACATAATAAAGGGACTGTAGAGAATTCTTGTGTTTGTCTGTTAGAGAAGGAGCTCCGCTGGCTGGTTATTAAATAGTGCAGAGGGTGGTCAGGTTTATGGACTGGTTCTTATACAGCGCTTTACTACTTGACCACTCTAAGTGCTTTATACAACGTTCCTCTTTCACCCATTTAAGCTTTGTTGTTTTTGCTACCTAAGTGCTCACTCTGATTGTAACATCGAAGAGCAACCTGCGGTTCAGCATCTTGCCCGAGGATGCTTTTGGAAGTCCAAATCCTTCTCAGAATTATAATCCAACACATCAATTAAAATCATGATGAGGAGGAGGAATAGAGTCAAATCCAAGTCCAACATGGACGATTTCCGGTGCTGCTGCTGAAATTTCCAACAGTGAACTTCTGGAATCCTTTGAACTGCCCTTCTCGCAGGACACTGGAGACTGACCCAGAATGCCTCCAGACATCCCAGTTTACTTTTTAACTTTCAACTCCCCGCACCTCCCTCTCTCTTATATCTAGTCAAACAATCAGGTGTTTAAATAAGATTTACTGACCTTTAGCCCGTCCTTATTATCCTCTCCATCTCTAAGGCAAAGGTTATTCAGCTCACATTTCATTAGCACATTAAAACTCAATACGTTCAATAAAGGCCCCTTTTTTACTAAATCACACACTTTAAATGTTGCACATTCAGAGATCTCCGGTGTGCTGTCTCATTCACACACACACGCTCAAAGTCACTCTCAAATAATTTTTACACAGGCTTTCAGCTTGCCTGAGTTAGACCTGCTGTAATTGCCCAACTTTCTGTGAATGGTACTCGTGGACAATAATCAATGGTCATGGCAATCATAAACTGACCTCCCAGCCCATTGTTTCTTCAGCAGTGCTGGTTTCAGTCATTATGCAAATGTACTGTTTATAAGATTTGGGGAAAGCTTCAGTCAGCTGAGACTGAAGAAGTCACTTGGACGAGTGACGAAACGTTTCTGTCCAGATGAACAGAATCAATCTACGGGTAATAAATCCATATTTGAATATCAGTTTCTTTTTGAGAGTAGAAGATGACTGATCTCTAACTCAGTTCCTGTGACCTTAAATTGATTATTTATTGATTGATTCCTAACAGACGCAGAGGACTTTTGATTTATTTTTTTTATCTGTTTATTTGAAGGTCAACCATGTTTTCGTATTTTATTCAATTTTATTATTGAAGCTTCCCTGTGATATACCTGTTCATTTTATATTCCTTCTCACATGAATTATATACATTATTATTATTATTATTATTATTAAACTTAGTAAGACGTCTGGCTTCATCTGATTTCTGTATTTTGATCACATAAATGTTGAGTTTTGTCACCATACATGTTTGTGTCTTCAGGTTTTATCTCATTTAAACGTCATAGTGTTTGTAAAAGTAAAGTCTGAGCTGTACAGCAGCTGCATCAGTACAGATAACATGATAATCACAGACAGCAGTACTCATAAAGACTTCTGCATTCACTCTGCCCTCTGATTGAAACTCTGCTTTGGTGCAGGACGAGTAACGTCTCAAAATACAAGGACATCATCTCCAGAAGTGATCTGATCAGTTCAGGACCTCCTGCTGTCTACCAGCTGAGAGCAAAGAAACAGAAGTTTGGAACAAGAATGACTGTTGGAGAAAAAAAACAAGACAAGCCAAACAGAACCATCTTACTGGTGGGAGAAACAGGAGCAGGAAAATCCACACTGATCAACGCTCTGCTCAACTACACCATGGGAGTGAAGTGGGAGGATGAAGTCTGGTTTACGATTGTAGAGGAGAAGAAGAAGAAAACTCAAACAGAAGGACAGACAGAAAGTCAGACAGAAGGACAGACAGAAAGTCAGACAGAAGGACAGACAGAAAGTCAGACAGAAGGACAGACAGAAAGTCAGACAGAAGGACAGACAGAAAGTCAGACAGAAGGACAGACAGAAAGTCAGACAGAAGGACAGACAGAAAGTCAGACATCAGATGTGATGGTGTACGAGATCTTTGGTTTTGAAGATGAAACTCTGCCCTACTCTCTGACCATCATCGATACTCCTGGATATGGAGACACCAGAGGGACTGAACATGATGACATCATCAGTTACAGATTGTTGGACTTGTTTGGATCAGATGATGGAGTCCATGAAATTCATGCAGTGGGTCTGGTGATGAAGGCGAGTGATAATCGACTGAGTGACCGACTGCTGTATGTCTTTGATTCAGTGATGTCTCTGTTTGGAAAAAACTTGGAGAAAAACATTGTAGCTCTGATCACACACTCAGATGGAAGAAGACCTAAAAACCCTCTTCAAGCTCTTGAAGATTGGAATATTAAATGTGCCAAAAAAGGGAAGAATCAGCCAGTTTACTTCCTGTTTAATAACTGCCAGCTTGAAGATGAGGAAGAAGAATTTCTGACACTAAATTTTGAAAGATCAGAGAGAGGAGTGAGAGAGTTCACAGCCTTCCTGAAAGAAAGTACACCTGTGCAGCCAGAGGCAACTCCTGAAGTGTTAAAGGAAAGAATCAGACTGACAGCCTGCATCCAAAACCTGCAAGAAAGAATCAGATTCACTGAAGTGAAACAGAGAGAGATGAAACAGACTCGGGAAGCTCTGCAGAAGAATGAAGTGGTCACTCCATGTGTTGTTTTTAAACATAAAGAACCTATCAGAGCAGAGACGTGTGGGCCGGGTTTGAAAGCAGCTGTCAGCTGTACAGTCTGTGAGGAGAACTGTCACTATCCTGGATGCACGGTGCCCTTAAATCACTGTGAGGTCTTTAGAGATGGTCTCTGCACGTCATGCACCAACAAGTGTCCTGCATCAGTGCATGTGAAAGGAAAGAGGAGATATGTGACCAGGATAAGGAGAGGTCAGAAAAATGAACCACCAGCAGAAGACAAGGATGTTTATTTACTTGGAAAGGAAATGAACCGACTGACAGCTGAGAAGGAAAAGTGGTTCAATGAGTCCTACCAACATGTTGTCAGACTGGAGCAGATCGCTCTGAAAGCTGATTCAGTGTCCACTGTTGTCCACTTGGACTTCCTGATTGAGAAGATGAAGCAGAAAGGAGACACAGAGAAGGTCCAGAAACTGGAGGAGATGAGAAGGAGAGAGGATAAAAGAAGCAAAGGAGCACAGAGGTATGTTAAACTTACAGCAAAGTGACTGTTGGTTATAATTATTAATAAAAAAATGTAGTTCATTTAAATTTTAATTATAACAATTATAATTAATTACTATTTTCTTTTCAAAGGTATATGATAATTAAAAGTGTACACACTAATATCACTGCTGAAAAACATCAGTGAAAGTATGTCCTGGGTTTATTTCTCAGCATTCAAACTGTTTCTCCTCTCACACAACAATAATGAACTGTCTCTCTCTCTCTCTATATATATATATATATATATAGAGAGAGAGAGAGAGAGAGAGAGAGAGAGAGAGAGAGAGAGAGAGAGAGAGAGAGAGAGAGAGAGAGAGAGAGAGAGAGAGAGAGACTCCATAAGAAAAAAACCGGATTCTCATGACTCACAAAGAAACTGGAATCAATCAGTGATTTGTGTGAAAACATGACAAAACTATAAAGAGGCATTAACATCTGGTTTAAATGAGGGAGAATTACACCAACCTTTTTATAGTGAACTAAAACTACAACTGTGTGCAAAAAGAAAAAATTACTCCAGCATTTTATTCCCAGATCATCATGGCCACTTCAACCATTTCCAGCTGGGAACTATGGCCTCAGATGGTGCTGATCCTTATCTGTGTCGCTATAAAGAGAGGGTTACAGCTGGAGGTCATTGTTCAGTCATGGACTAACTATTTCAGTCAATGGAAAAGAAATTTTAAATACAGTCTAACTGAAACAGTAATGCCAATTTTTGTATCAAAATAAAAAATAAAATCAACTGAAATGATTTTGTGATCTTAACTTGTCTGTTAACTGCTGCTAAGTGCTTTGAGAAAGTGTCACTTACTGTGCTGTACTGTACTGTGACACCCGCTCTTGAAGGATTTAAATCTGCCCAGAATATCATGCCAATATTCTAATACTGACAATAAAAACTAACACTGTAGGAATCCAGGCCAGCAACAGCTATGATCCACCCAGCTGATGTCATGCCAGCCCAATTAAAGGTTGCGGTGAAAAAATATTTGTTCATCCTGTGAATTACAAATAAAGAAATAAAAACAGAAGCTGTCTTCTGTTTACGTGGGCAGTGTACAGTCAGCCTCCACTGTCACTTTTGTCTCAGGAATATATAAAGTATAATATAAAGTAACAGTGTGACCACGAATGCTTTGAGAGAGCAGACGGGAAAAAAAGAATCTAATTGAAAAATAGAAAATAAAAGCTTTTATTCTATGTGATTTTTGATTCTGGCCAGAAAATGATCAGCTCAGTTTTCAGTGTACAAACTAACAACAGGAACATGTTCGTAATGTTTACGTTTGTACTGAAGACATTTTTGCTTTACTCTGCAGGATCAGTTTGATCTCATCACCACATGAAGACATCATCTCAGACAGTTTTCTCATCAGGTCAGGACCTCCTGCTGTCTACCAGCTGAGACCAAAGAAAGAAATGATTGGAACTCTGACAAGAATCACTGTTGGAGAAAAAAATCTAATCAAGACAAACAGAACCATCTTACTGGTGGGAGAAACAGGAACAGGAAAATCTACTCTGATCAACGCTCTGCTCAACTACACCATGGGAGTGAAGTGGGAGGATGAAGTCTGGTTTACGATGGTAGAGGAGAAGAAGAAGAGAGGTCAAACAGGAGGTCAGACAGAAAGTCAGACATCAGATGTGATCGTGTACGAAATCTTTGGTTTTGAAGATGAAACTCTGCCCTACTCTCTGACCATCATCGATACTCCTGGATATGGAAACACCAGAGGGATTGAACATGATGACATCATCAGTCACAGATTATTGGACTTGTTTCAATCAGAGGATGGAGTTCATGAAGTTCATGCAGTTTGTTTGGTGGTGAAAGCAAGTGATAATCGAGTGAGTGACCGACTGAAGTACATCTTTGATTCAGTGATGTCTCTGTTTGGAAAAAACTTGGAGAAAAATATCATAGCTCTGATCACACACTCAGATGGAAGAATACCTGAAAACCCTCTTAAAGCTCTTGAAGTTGCAGAAATTAAATGTGCCAAAAATGAGAAGAATCAGCCAGTTTACTTCCTCTTTAATAACTCACAGTATGAAAGCCGAACAGAAGAAAACAAGTCTTCAAAACTTTCATGGGAACTCACACAGGAAAACATGAATCAATTGACAGACTTCATGGGAAACTCTAACCCTCAAAAACTGATGAAAACAGCCGAAGTGCTAAATGAACGAATCAGACTGAAAGCCTGCATCCAGAACCTGAAAGAGAGAATCGAGCTGGGTGAACTGAAACAGACAGAAATCAGACAGAAGAGAGAAGCTCTGAAGAAACATGAAGAAAAACAGCGAGAAGAAAAGAAAAAGCTTGAAGAAGCTAAAAAAAACTACGAAACTCTAAAGAGCCAAGGAGAAGAGAAACATGAAGAAGCTCAAAAAATCCAACAAAGTATAAAGGAACATGAAGAAGAGATGAAGAGGAATGAGATGTTCACTGTAGAAGTTGATGAGCCCTACAAAGTGAAATATCCTATTGATGGTGGGATGAGATTGTTGTTTTATGCAGCAGCTGTCTGCTGTACAGACTGTGAGGAGACCTGTCACTATCCTGGATGCACAATGGCTTGGAAACCTGAACACTGTGAGGTCATGAAAGGAGGACACTGCACTGTTTGTACCAAGAAGTGTCCTGCATCAGATCATGTAAAAGAAATGTTAAAATATGTGACCAAGACAAGGAGGGTAATGAAGACTGATGAAGAAATGAAAAAGCAGTATGAGAAGAATGTGTCAGAATATGAGATGAAAGCCAGAGAGTTAAAAACTGTTGCAGAGGAAGTGGATGAAACAAAGAAAACAGCAGCTGATTCATCACTAAACAAACAAGAAATGCAGCAGAAATATGAAAAGTATCAAAAAGAAAAAGAGAAGAAGTGTACCCTGTTAGAAAATCTTGAAAAGGAAATGAAACTGCTGACAGCAGGGAAGTCGCGGTTCCTGGACGAGTCCTACCAACATGTTGTCACACTGGAGCAGATCGCTCTGAAAGCTGATTCAGCATCCACTACTGTCCACTTGGACTTCCTGATTGAGAAGATGAAGCAGAAAGGAAACACAGAGAAGGTCCAGAAACTGGAGGAGATGAGAAGGAGGGTGGATGAAAAAAACGAAAAAGCAGCAAATTGGTACAAGTTTACTCAAACACCATCAGCTATCAGAAACATTGGGAGATCCTTGGTCTGGCGTAAGTGAAGCATGTAAAGAAGCATCATGCAGCTGTGTGAATGGCTTTTTTTCTGACACACTCTATGCTACATGTTCAGATGTACACAACATGGCTTTTTGTTGTTGTTGTTTTTGCTGACAGATGGCATATTACTTCTAAAAAAGCCTGTTATTGATTATTGATCAGCACTGACGTCTCTACTTAGAGATCAGTCAGTTTGTTTAGCAGTTCTTTGGTCCTAAGGAGAAGTTACTGTGGCTCACTGTTTGTTTTATGCATCTGACATCAAATCTGTACCAAATACAACATGTGGCTCTGTGTGCTTTGGTGATGCCTGCAGAAAAATGTCGATTGCTTCCAACATTAGTTTCATCTCAAGAAAAAAAATGTTTCTCACATATTTTCCAAATATGTGAGAAATGTCATTGAATTTATATCATTTAAACATGACATGAAAATGATTGATCAGTAAAAATATGATGACCTTTCTATCAAAGTTCTCAGTAGTCAGTATAATCTTTTAATGATATAAGTTTGCATATAGTAGAATAGTGCATGTTGAGCTTTTGATGACTTAGGCTGTTGGGTGGTGATGATGGGTTTAAATTTTATTATTGTAATTTGATGATGATGGCCTCCTTCTAAGACGGGAACATCATGTATGCTTTCATATTTTATCCAGTCATTAAAAAAATCAAAATTCTCATTTATAAAGAATACTGTCCTGATTTTGTATTTTGAGGTAAGAGACAAACGACTGCAAAGTCCCCGTGATGATTTTATTTAAACACATGTATGTGGGAAGCCGAGCACGATCACCCAAAAAGCATCGATCTTCCCAGAGCAATAAATGAGCAGTCGTATATATAACATAGTTGATGACGAGCATCATGCGTCACAGCAGATAGCTAACATGCATCAGTTCCAGTAATTCCGACCTCGGACACATTCAAAAAAGAACAGTTCCTTCTTCTGTTCCTCCGCAAGATGCTTCCTGTTATTTCACTTAGTGCACTTCACTCATCTGTGGAACTAAACTGTCACGTACGCAGGTAAAAAAAACTTTGCAGTCTCGAGCAAAACAAGTCTAGATACTGTGTATGTGTGCAGGCAGCCTATGTGTGTCTTGACCTCAGTGCATGACCTATTCTGAGTCATCTGTTACCAGGCAAACTCCAATGCAGCAGGCTGCTGAGTGCACACAGGCCTGTATTCTGTTTACAGGTTATATGTGGTGTATTGTATTGTAAGCATGTATGCAATCCTTTCGTAGCTCGATGCATTTCTCAATTGATCGGGCGGACGTCGCGCTGCCCGAAGCTTCAGACCATCAACTGACCGAGCTTCAACTCTTTAATAAGCACAAAAATGCAATATGGATAACATGATTACAGTTGCACCTGCAATGAAAGATTATTATGTGATTATGCTAACACCTGAAATACAGACTTTAATGTAACATCAACAGCTTCAATAAATGCTCTGATGAAATGATAATGATAAACGATAAGTACTGCAACAGTAATGATAATGGTTATGAATAGTAACATTAAAATAATATTCTAATCTCCACAATACTTTGAATTATTGCTTTTTCTTTATTAATATACATGTATTTCACACAGGTATTTGTACTTATGTAACAGCACATGACAAGTATTACTACATAAACTCCACAGTCAGTTATTATGCAGAGCAGAGCTGCCAGCTGTGCTGTAAATGCAGCGAGGGCGCCCCCTGCTGTTTAACGATCAGTACAACAGTGTGTGAGAACAGCTCCCTGCTCCTCTGACGTCACTATCTCCCAAATACATGTGTTTCTGTCACGTTGTTCTACTGTTGTCAGTGTGAGCTTTATCCTGCTGCTCCTCTCATGCTGACTCAGTAAACTGGTTGTGGGACAGTAACGTGTCACTGACACGATCCAGAGACAGTCCAACATGTTGTTGTCTTTCAGTGAGTGCAGAGGATGTCATTGACACGATGCCTCGATTGCTTCTTCATGTGTTCATGCTGGATATTTGTGATGGCTCAGGCCGAGCGGAAACATTTGGCTCTGTTGCTATGACAGCAAGTCCCGGATGAGCTTCGGGGAACCGACTGATCCAGGATCACGCGAAATCGTCAACAATCTAATCCAGCTAACTTACTTAGCGAGGTACGAAGAACGGGCCCCTGGTCTCTGATTGTAAAGCATTCAGCTCCATCTTGGTTCATTTTTCAAGTCAAGTTGCTTTACTGTCATTTCAACCACGTACAGTGGTGCAGTACACAGTGAAATGAGGTGACGTTCCTCCGTACCAGGGTGCTACATATGACACACAATCAACACAGGACTACATAAAGTGCAAGTGTGTAGAAGTTGCAAAAAACCAAACAAAGACAGTGAAACACAGAAAATACAGACACAACACTGCAACAGAAAAGTGCAACAATGACAGCGGCTTCTGCAGAAGACTGAGCATTGTGGAAAAGTACCTTGGTGTATGAAGGTGTGCATATGTTTGTGTCCAGTCACTGAGTGTTCAGGAGTCTGACGGCTTAGGGGAAGAAATGGTAAATGGCCTGTATTTGTACAGCGCTTTACTAGTCACTAATGACCCCAAAGCGCTTTACATATCCAGTCATCCACCCATTCACACACACATTCACACACTGGTGATGGCAGCTACGTTGTAGCCACAGCCACCCTGGGGCGCACTGACAGAGGCGAGGCGCCAAGAGTAATTGGGCTGATGATGTAAGGGCTCTCCAGGGGTGTATGGTCTAAGGAGCTCAACGAGATAGCTAGACACTGTATGGTTTATGATTTTAAAGGTGAGCAGCAATACTTTCATTAAACTTGGTATTTGATAGGGAGGCAGTGCAAATCAGCAAGGACAGGGGTGAAAGAGGCAAACCTGCCGGTTGCAGTCAGAAGGTGTTCCGCAGCATTTTGGACAAGCTGCAATCTATGGCGCAGACTGGAGCCAGAAGTAGAGGGAATTACAGTAATCCAATCAGAAGGTCACAAAGGCATGAATCAGCTTCAAGATCCTTGTGTGTTACATAATGCTTAGCCTTAGAAATAAGAAGCAGCTGGTAAAAGCTAGATTTGACTGCAGAGGATAGTTGTCTATCAAGTTTGAAAGAGCTATATCACAGAACACCTAGATTACTAACAGTGTCAGAGAGGAAAGTGGCAAAGGATCAGCCAGCTGGCCCCGGGAGACATGACTGTGAAGAAGCCTGTCCATTCTCCGGCTCTTCTTTCCTCCGTTTCCATTTGCAGTCTCATGCCCTCTCTTATTAATTCCAAGAATTCATCCTTCCTGTTCGTCTTTTGTCCACTCTTGGCTGCAGCTGGCCCACTGCTGAACTGGGCCTGGAGTGTCCTCCTGGATGGAGACAATTAGGACTGGAGCCTGGTAGAAGGCTCTGTCCCAACACCTCATCCATAATACAGACCAGCACCATTTAGCAGCCGTGGGCTTCCCACTCACTCCCTCGCCTGACCCTGGATACTTGCAATCCTAACAGCAGAGGAAATCACAAGTGGCAATGGACAAAAACAGCAACAGTACAGGTTTACACGAATAAGTTCAAAAGACTAGAGTTAACAATACATATTTTAACACTACTGTACATACTTTGTTTTGTTTTGTTGGCCTGCAAAGGGGTGATTTTTCCCACCAGGCCCATCTTCATAAGAATTGCCCTAACAGACAGAATATCAGAGAACATCTCACTCATGTTAGTCCCTGAACAGCATCCACAGCAAACTGTACTAAATTAGGACCACAAGACCAAAAACATCACTCTGCCTCACACGTAACAGAGTAAGAACTGCATACTATTGCTGCACCTGCAGCCCACAGTGGTGAAAAGGTGTTCGTTGTCTCGCTGGAGTTTAATAAACTCGCCGTCTGCTCCTTGCTATCTAAAACATAACAGGACACAGGCGTAGAGTCTCAATCATCTCACACTTCTGATGATCAGCTGTCTGTTTGACGTTTATTCAGCTGTGTGAAAACTATAAGTTACTATAACAAACCGATTTACTCAGGAACAAATAAAACAATGAAAAAAGCCAAACAATAACATTTTTAGGTTATCAAAGTGACTTATGTACTACGTTTAACCTGAGTAGTCAAAGACCGCGGGGGGTTAAAGAACAAGGAGTTCGCTGTTCTCACGGCTCTACTGAGCCTCGATCTCCTGGCTAGCTATCGAGCTGGTGGGTAACAGACATCTCAGAAAACGTCGGAGCGCTTTTGCAAATATGCTATGTCTTGATAAACCGAGCAGATATTTAAGTTTACACACCCACATTCTCACCTGAAAATATTTTAAACGTTTATTTTGTAACCCAGAAGGCGTAATAAGAGTAATATTAAAACCAACCCTTGTGTTAAAACCAGCGGCACTGTGCAGTTACAGTCACGTAAGTTTAATGAATGTAAAATAAATCACCTTAATATTTAAAATGAAACTTCCATTAACTTTAATATCTTAACAATAACAATTTCTACCGTCTCCGTAGCTGCTGCCATCGTTAGAAACTGAATTGGCTAGGCAGCGCTATGAATTCTGGGATAGGTTGGGCCACAAAGTACACACCTGACCCATGCTTCGAATCAGGGGAAATGAAGGCCGCATTTGGAGCAGCCTTCATCGCCTGGCTGTGACGTGATCGGCCTTCAAATGCCTCTGGAGGATGAGGCCCCTGACTTGGGACACAGCTAATGTTAGACCTCATGTGGCTGGAGCGTGTCAGCAGTTCCTGCAAGACGATGGTATTGATGTTATGGACTGGCCCACTCGTTGAGCACATCTGGGACATCATTTAGGTGTGTTGCACCACAGACTGTCCAGGAGTTGGCAGATGCTTTAGTCCAGGTCTGGGAGATCCCTCAGGAGAACATCTGCCACCTCATCAGGAGCAATGCCCAGGTGTTGTAGGGAGGCCACACACACACTGCTGAGCCTCATTTGGACTTGTTTTAAGGACATTACATCAAAGTTGGATCGGCCTGTGTTTTTCCACTTTTTGAGCGTGACTCCAAATCCAGACCTCCATGGGTTGCTAAGCTTGATTTCCATTGAAAATGTTTGTGTGATTTTGTTGTCAGGACATTCAACTAAATATCAACTATCAACAATCTAACTAAGTATTTAATAAGAATATTTCATTCGTTCACATCTGGGATCTAGTTTTGTGAGCTTTAACCTGAGATTCTGGCATTTCTGGCAAAATACATTTATATTTAAAAACTGATTCAGGATCTAATGAATCGATATCACTTTATTCAAGCTAAAATCGATTATCGAAACCCAGGTTAACTGGAGTACAGCTGCTTATGTTTAGCAATCAGAGAGGGTTAAGGGTTATATCAAAAAAAATATTAATACTTTTAAATCAACTTTAATTAAATTAAGGTAAAACTGGAATAATCCAGAGAATATCCATTTTTGAATTTAGAAGGTGAAAAGCTTAAAAGTAGGATTTAAGAAGAGGAAGCACAAGGAAATTAATTCAAAATGCACAAAACATGAGACGAATGAAAATTGGAAAGGGAATAAAGAAACATGCAGACTGAGAGGGAGGTTTAAAAGGAGTCAGTGGCTCGTTTCAGCCCTCACCTGTCGGCAGACAGCAGCAGCCGCCCTCTGTCTAATTCAGACAATAGTTGAACTAAATTGTTTCCATTTTTGTTTGTTTTTTCACTCTTTTTAGTATTTTTTTCATTTGTTTTTAAAAAAGTATTATTACTTACACAACAATGGGTGTTTGTGTGTTATCTTTACAGATTATTATGTGAAACTCAGCTGGTAGTGAAGAAAATAGACCTGAACTGCACGTTTGATTGACTTATTGAGGAAGACGGTGCCTTCAGGAGCATCCGGGAAAATCCATATTTAAGCACTGAGTCTACCTCAGAGTTTAATGGAACATTTACATTTTAAAGAAGCATCAGGAACAGCGACAGCATGCAGCCAGCGTCAGTGCGCAGAACCGATTACTGATCATCACAACATCTGTCACGCATCCACTCTTTAACAGTCATTTACCCAGCATTCATTGGACATGAACAACCCTGATTCTATTTCAAGGTTACTAACACATCACAGTCACCATGGTAACAGTTAGTTTCTATACAAGTGTACAAACATCAGACAGTGTGAGGGACAAATTCCACTAGTCAAACAGAAGCGATGTCAGCGACCAATCAAAGAGGACTTCCAGTTAAATCAGGAAGTAGAAATTAGCACCCATGATGATGATTGGTTTGTGCACTCAGACTTTACAGCCTTCGGGAGGCTGAAGATCTCCAGGGTTCAGATGTCTTTGAGAGGGTCTCATCAGCTGATGACACTGTGTGTGTGTTGTCACTTCTTCATCTTGTTCTGTCGGTCCAGAAACTTTTGTCGTCTGTCGACTGGAATCTCATCCAGGCTGATTCCATGGTTGCTGGCCCTGACAGAGAGACAGGTGGAGAGCGAGTTTCAGTTTAATGATTACTTTATTGGTAATCGATAATGACCGCTGTGTGTTCTTACCCTCCGGCGAGGTCTGGAGGAACAGGAAGAGGTTTATTAAAATCTTCTCGACCCATCAGCCAGTACGTGTCCTCTGTGCCCTTAACCTGCAACACAAGCATCCAAACATCAACGAGTCCCACCACGGACTGGCATCAGGCTGACTAACTGTGGACAGGGTGGGATCTGGACCAGACTCTGAACCTGTCAGACTGGACTACAGTAAACCTGAGGGTAATAACCTGACTTTTGATAAGGTTTTATAAACCATCCATTCTCTTTCATCCTCATCAGGGTCGCAGGGGTGGGGCAGGGTACACACCGGACAGGTCGCCAGCCTGATTCAAGGCTAAGCTTCGTGGTCACACCTATGACCAGTTTAGATTCTCCAATTAACATAACCTCACTAATTGCATGTCTTTGGACTGTGGGAAGCCACAGTACCCAGTACACAGAAAGGCCCTGGCAGGGGGTGGGATCGAACTCAAGACCTTCTTTATGTGAAGCAACAGTGCTAATACCCGAGCCAGCGTGCTGCCTTTATCACCATTGTGTGTGTTTTCTAACAGCATCCACAGCTACTGCGTCATGCAATTACATTTGGATTTGCTTCAGGTCTGTTTAGATTGGCATACCTGCGCCTTCCGGGTGTCTATGTGGTATCCCACTTTCAGACTGGTCAGGACTTTGACCGTACTCAGACTGATGTGGATCCTGTAAGCTGCAGACCACAAACACATCGTCACACCGCAACTCAGGAGGAAGCTAGTGATTCTGACATAATTTAAATACAGACAGGAGAGACATCAGGGTGGTCTCTCAGTGATCCAACCATTGATCAAAGATTTTACTTACGTAGCCCGGAGGACTCCATGAGTGAGGCCGTGGTCACCGTGTCTCCAAAGAGACAGTACCTGGGCATCTTGAGTCCAACCACACCTGCTACCACGGGACCTGAAGACAAGAAGGGCCAGACCTTTACCTGGCACTAACACCATAGACAGCCTCAGGAACCATTATTACCATACTTTAATCAGAGATGTAGGGTTACATTCAAACTAGCTGGGAACAAAAATACACTACCAGTCAAAGGTTTGGACACGCCTTCTCATTTAGTGGTTTTTCTTTATTTTTACTACTTTTGACTGTAGATACAAACTCAAGACCTCATATATATGAAGCACGACAAATGGAATTATGTAGCAAAGAAAAAATTGATTAACAAGTTTAAATATGCCGGGAAAGTTGATTATGTTCAACTGGATGCAGGATGTAGTTTTCAGTGGGAGAAATGCTTTGTCACTTCTTCAGTCTCAGCTTTCTCCAACCTTATAAACAGTACATCTGCACAGTAACTGAAACCAGCATGAATGAACAATGACCCAGTTGTGTTCTGTATATGTTTATTCCTCAATGCACATCACCAACAGACCCCAGTCAGGAACCAGTCCCATTTTTAAGTTGGCGGGGCAAGATTGCCGATGCCGTGCAGGTGTGTCCACCTTCCCTGCACAGCACCGCAGGCCACGCCCCGCCAAATACCCCCATCGTCCGACTGAGGCTGGGGAGCCACCCGGCTGGCACAGCTCCCCGTGCGGCGCCTCTGCCTCCAGCAGGCACAGCCCCTCTCGCCCCTCATCCACCTCTGGCTTATGAGGCTCCTCCACCACTCCCGGCTGGAACAGCCCTTCCTGGAGCAGCTCCTCTTCCTCCAGTCGGTGTGGACCCTTGCGCCCCTCATCTGCCATCTCCGGTTGGAGCAGCTCCTCCACCGCTCCTGGCAGGAGCAGCCCACATGACAACGTGAATATTAATGATGAAGGAACTGACCTCCCAGCCCAGTGTTCCTTCAGTGGGCTGGTTTCAGTCATTATGCAAATGCAAAGGTCGGAAACCTGCAGTCAGCTGAGACTGAAGAAGTCACCTGATGATGATGAAACGTTTCTCCCACTGAGAACGTTCAGATGAACTGAATCAACTCTTTTGGATTTACTCACCTGGATGATTGAGGGTACAGCAAAACAACACTGAATATGTTTTATAGTTTAGATTCCTGTAAGTAGCTGCCCTTTGCTTTGTTGACAGCGCTGCAAACCCTTATCCTGCTCTCAGTGAGCTTCATGATGTAGTCACCTGAAATGGTTTCACCTCACAGGTGAGCCTGTCAGGGTTCATTGGTTCTAATAATAATGGATTACATTTATATAGCGCTTTTCAAGGCACCCAAAGTGCTTTACAATCTCACATTCACACACTGGTGGAGGAAGCTACAGGTGTAGCCACAGCTGCCCTGGGACAGACTGACAGCAGCGAGGCTGCCATATCGCGCCATCGGCCCCTCACACAACAACCAGGACAGAGAGCCCGGGGATCGAACTGGCAACCTTCCGGTTACAGATGCACATCCCAACCCCCAGCACCACGGTCGCCCCCTAATTAAGAATGGTTCTTGCATTCTTAATGGGGTTGGGACCATCAGTTGTGTTGTGCAGAAATCAGGTTGGTACACAGCTGACAGACATATTTGACAACCTTTACCATTCATATTAGTAAAGTAAGAGAAACAACAGTCCATCATTACTTTAACAACTGAAGGTCAGTCATGGTTTTCCTCTTTTTAGTGAGCCAAGCCGAAAGAGCCGGTTCTCTAAAAAGACTCAGAATTCCCATCAGCAGTGTTGTGTGGGCTGGAGGCCTTATGTGCTTCCATTTAGTCTGCTGCTGCCAATCTCCTTTCAGAACCTAGAGGCTCAGTGAGTACGACTCGGAGTAGCCTCGTGGTGATTCTCACTGGGAGGCCCGAGACCCGAACATTGTAAATATTACACTTGGGGCCAGTAGGGTGGATCCCTTCATTAGGATAGAGGGACACACGTCCAGGTTACACAGTAATCAAAGCAAAGTCTGGATATTACGAAGAATCTAAAATATAAAACAAACAACGTGTTTTGAGTTATTTCACACTTTTTGATTTACTACATAATTCAACATGTGTTCATTATTAGTTGATGCCTTCAGCAAGAATCTAAAAAGAAAAACCATTAAACTGTTTTGTCCAAAACTGGTACTGTAATCCAGTCTGACTGGTTCAAATATCATTCCTATCCTTGTGGTCTGAGCACCAGCTGCTGATGAGGCAGGACTTGAGCCAGCCCTGAGGTCTCCCAAAACAGTTCTGTCAACAGACACTTCTACTCACTACTCCTGACATTTCTAAATCTTTCAGCAGTTGCCCACAGACGTCGAGCTTCACTAATCTCATCCACACGTGTCCACAGTAAGAGTGACTTACACCTGAGACACATTGAACATACTCTGGATTCTTCAGATGAGGAAAGCTGATAGTATAGTAGTTACACTGATAAATGAACCCTCTCCTGACGTCCTGGTACTGAATGAGCAGATAACGGTCGACAGGTGTA